TGACCCAGCAACTTCCCAGCTGCCGACACGCAGGTCTGGCACCTCGCTAAGGAACAGCTCCAAACTCCCAAGATAAGTCACGCTCCTGGAATAGCTAGTCGCCGCAACACCAAACCCTCAGTCAATGCGGCTCTGTAGTGGTAACATAGCCTTCCTTTCTCGCCCAACGTCGGCTCCTTGAGCGCTAAAGGGGACCTCCTGAGCATCACGCCTCAGGGGCTCTCACTGGACCTCGGGCCACTCACCTCCTGGCCTTGACCACGGCATCACGACCTGGCAAACCAGCGACGGCTGAAGCCTGCCTAGGGACCGGGACCTGTCAGCGTAGAGCACCAAGCCCTCATGAGGTCAGAAAGGGGGAACTGAGCCGAGACAGGACAAGCATCTTGCACCTCTCTGTGATAAGGGTGATATTGACAAAAGACATTGCAGACGCTTTACATGCGCCCACGGGGTACTTCCTTGATTCCTCGCAGGGAAAAAAAAGGTGCAAATCCTAAGGAGCCCTAACTACAGGTGCCTCTTCGGCCGACGCCATCATCAATAGAGGGCCATGAGAGGCGGCGTCGACCCCATCCAGATCAGCCGCGCCGGCTGCCTGGCGCAACAGCTCTACTCCGGGCGCGGCATGAGCTCAGGGGCTCATAGATGTCACCGCTCATCTCAGGAGTCACGAGAAGCTCAGGAGAGTCGCTGGACCCTCCGGCACCTCTGCTGCTGCCAGAAGAGCTGCTGGGGAAGCGGGTGGCAGGCTTAGCCCTCGCCACTTCGATGCCCCAGCCGCCGACCCTAGGGCAGCACTCCAGCCGGTGTCCTTCCACGTCGAAGACCTTGAAGAGCATCAAGGAGGCGCCATCGTATTAGAGATGAATCACGAAGGCGCCCCCTATTCGGCAGACCCGGCGATCTCGCCCCAGCCTCAGGTCATGTAGACCTTGCCCGGAGCAATGACCTCAACCTCCGCTCCGGTCGCAGGGGTGCCGCAATCGGTGTGCTGCAGCCAGAGCTCGAGAGGCCCCCTCGGTGGCATCTCAAAGGCAAAAGAAGGAGGAAGGCGAATCCAGGAGCTCGGTGGCATGGTGGCGTGAAGCACGAGCTCGTGAGAGGATTCCGATGCATGGACTCCAGGGGCGACGACGCGTGCCGCCGTGATTCATCGACGTCGCCGGCGGCACGGGCGGCGCCGCTCGGCGTCCTCTTCCCTAGGGCCCTCGGCCCGGGTGTACAAGGGTAGAGGAAACCCAAGTGGTGGCCGCTGGTACCAAGGCCTTGACGTCTCTGGCCAAGCGACCTCATTGCGGCGGCCGGGGACTGGCCGCTTCTTCGGCGGGAGCGGGTCGGGCCCCTCTCGGGGGGCCTTTCCTTTCTCTTCGGTTGAGAACCGGCGGATCGGCGCCATTGGCGTCAAGATGGAGGAGGATCAAGGAAGAAGAAGTGGAGCAAGACTGTGAGGGCTCACGTTGTTCCGTACTTATAGCCCAAAGGAGGCCAACCGTCGGCCTCCATGATCGCAGGTAATCATGACTCAATTTTGCATGCAGGGACTTGTCAAGTTGGGCAGTTGCCGAGGCAGCGTGGGGAAGCGGAGACGCCCACGTCTAGTCAACCGCCACGCGGTACCCAACGCCGCAGGGTGTTGGGGCCCGCGGTGCTCCACATTTTCCCTTTCACTTCTCTGCTAAGCCAAGTCCGAGCGCGACTTAGGCCCGGGGCTACTGTCGGCGTTCTGGGAATGTGGGTCCCCAAACTTGCCTGCCTGCGGCCTGCAGCGTGGCTCAAGTGGTGGTCCAGTACGTCCCATCTTCATCAGCTCGAGCTCAAGACCCTCACGAGGAGCCAAGCCTCGTGGGGCGGACGACACAAGGCTTCCTTAGGAGCGGCCTCGCCAGGTAGGCTCGTGAGAGGGCGGAGAGATCAAGGAAGGGGTACCTCGCGAGGTACCCGTGACGCAAGCCATGACGATCGAGACCAGGCGGGCGCAGTGTCCTTGTTTCCTCTTCGATGCAAAGGGGGCAAGCACAGGCACGGAGTACCAAGGCATCAAGCAAAGGTTGCCATTCCGGTGCAACGAGACCAAGACCAGCAGAGCGGCAGGACGGAGGTCACTGTGGAGCCCAAGGCGGCGTCATCACCAGTGCCTTTGGGAGCCGAAGACCAACTTTAGTCAGGATAACCTGTACTAGATGTTCCCCTTCAAAATTGTCGTTGTTGGCAGCCTTCCCGCTCAATATTTGGGAAGAGGACCAGTGCCTCTATATATAGGGCTAGCCACCAGAGTAGGAAGGGATCCGAGACCGGAATATCACCAAGAGCCACAAAGATGGAGCAATTCCTCTCCATACACACCACCACAAGAACACCCCTCACGAGGTTGTTCTTCCTCTGTACTGTTCATCATCAGCCCCTGAGGCAATCCACCACACCACAAACTAGAGTAGGGTATTACACCACAACGGTGGCCCGAACTAGTATAAACCTTGCGTCCCTTGTGTTGTTCCTCGTTTTAGCTTAGATTCTCAGCGAGGCGTTCAGACGTGGATCGGTAGGGGAAAGATCTTCGCGCGCACCCCAGAGTTCGAACCTTAAGGGTTTTTCCGGAACCCGATATCCGACAGCAGCTATCGTGTCGAGCTCCTCTCTAAGCAGGCTATGGGCCTATTGCAAGTCTTCTTCCCTGTGGGGCCTACTGGGCCGTACGGGCCTGCATCCTTGCCCAACTAGAGGTTGGGTTTCTAGTCGTATGCAGGCCGTGTCGGCCCAGTAGGTGGGCTGTTTTTGATTTATTAAAAAAAATTCCAAAAAATCATTTAGTCCCGGTTGGTGTTACCAACCGGTACTAAAGGTCTCCCCGCCCCCGGCCCTGTCCCGTGCCACGTGGGGGCCCTTTAGTGATGGTTCGTTTTGAACCGACACTAAAGGGGGGACCTTTAGTCTCCACCCTTCTTTAGTGCCGGTTACAGAACCGACACTAAAGGGTCTTACGAACCGGTGATATAGCCCGGTTCTGCACTAGTGTAGGGGGAGGTGCAGAAGAACCCTGCGCAAAAAGATCACCCCTGAAAGCACCCGACAACCCTTGTTGAATGGAGGACGATGGGGCGTACTGTTGTACCGCACCGTAGTCGGACAGTGCATCTGAGAGAGAGATGTTGTTATTGATCCACCTTATGGAGAGGGATGCGTTGATATTGATCCCCATTATTGCACCCACGTAGTCATTAGAATCGAAGCTCTGCACGGCCAGCAACGATCCTGCAGCTGCAAGCACGAGGAAGAAGAAATCGACAGAACCCATGGTGCCTGCAGGAATAAGAACGATGTAAGAAGAAGCTGGCCTTTTTGACAAGCTAGGTGGCAAGAAACGGGAGTCGGGAGGAATTGGACCGAAGGATGGGTTGCAGATTAAGGAGAAATTAAACCTGCAGATCAGAGCCAAAGGAGGAGATGAATGTGCTCGCTGGAAAGGTGGCCTCGCCCCACCCCCACCCCAATGAGAGGTGACTATAGACTCAAAGTCTTGGTCTTCCATCGTCTTTGGTTCATTGAATCCAGCATCTCACTCTCAGCCTCTCGGTGTGGTTCCTCCTTTTCAGCTTTTCGTACATGGATTGTCCAAATGCGTCCCAATAGGTCACGGGCTGGTTGTTCAAAGTCATTGCCATGAGAAATTGCTCGTCCTATGCCTGTGAGAATCATACTGCCAGGAAAATTGACAGATGAATCATACTGTCAAGAAAACCAGGTGTTGATGGCAAGGGAGGCATTTTCAGAGTAAACACATTTAAATAAGAAGCCTCGTAATTAAGTCTGCCATGGCATCCTCCTTGGTTGTTTATGTCGGCTGCTTATACATATTTAGATTGCGAATTGTTTATCTATTTCACGAGTTTGTGTAGTGAATCTGCAAGCTAATGACCAGCGTTTGAAGGACTTGGACATGATGCTATCTAATTTTTTTCTATTTTTTTATAAAAGAGAGCTACCTCTCCAATTTCCATTAAAAGAAACCACCAAGTCTTACAACAAAGAAAAGAGAAAAAACAGGAACTGCCACAGCTATCTCGCCGACAAGCACTGGCTAATGAGGAGGAGGGGCAGCCATCCCTCCCCTTCCCACAAACCCCAGAAGCAGCACCCCTGGAGAGACCTAAGGCCTAGGCTCAAGAGCAGTTCCTAGTCCCAGCATTACAAAGTTTTAACGATGGAATAGTATCTAGGAGACGGAACGAACACAACTGTTTTTAACATCGCACAGAAACTGATAACTCCCCCAAGGAGAGACCAAAAGAAGGAAGGAAAAGTAAAACAGGGGTAATCTTGCGGCCTCTTCAAGCGTCCATCACAGCAACACAGACCCGAGAAGACGTGAAGCTTTTTGGCCATCACATGATTCTTCTAGTCTCCAGGCGCCACCCATGCACTGCTCTGAACACTTCTTCAGCAACTTCACCAACCTGCTTCACTCCTGCCTCCATCATACTACTTCTTGTGGGGTTTTTCTGCAAAATGTTCCAATCATGTAAGTTTTTAAGAAGCAGATTAACAGGCACACAAGGATCATCAATCCTGTTATTATCAAAAACAAAACTATTCCTCAATTTCCAAATAGTCCAACATATAGCCGAAATCCCTATCAAAACTAAGCTCCTCTCTTACTTTCCAAAAGTCTTATCCCAAATTCTCATCCCCAGATCCAAATCATCTGTATATCAGTTAAGTTGAAAGCAGATTTTAGAATATTCCACAGCAGCCTAGCTACTGAACATGATATAAATAGATGATTTATACTTTCCTCACGCCCACAGAATGGGCATTTCTCATCTCCTTTCCATCCTCTATGAAGCAAATTATCTTTTTTGAGAATGATGTTCCTAAGAGCTAGCCACATAAAGATCTTAACTCTGGGTGGCATTTTAATTTTCCACTTATATAAGTGTGGGTATTTGATACCATTTTGTATTAAGTGTCTATAAAAAGACTTTACAATATAAATCCTGTTTTTGTCAGTGTCCATTGCACCTTATCATTTTCATCCCTCAGAACCACCGAACTGTTGGGGAACGTAGCAGAAATTCAAAATTTTCCTACGTGTCACCAAGATCTATCTATGGAGAGACCAGCAACGAGTATAAAGAGAGTGCATCTACATACCCTTGTAGATCGCTAAGCGGAAGCGTTCAAGTGAACAGGGTTGATGGAGTCGTACTCGTCGTGATTCAAATCACCGATGATCCTAGTGCCGAACGGACGGCACCTCCGCGTTCAACACACGTACAGCCCGGTGACGTCTCCCACGCCTTGATCCAGCAAGGAGAGAGGGAGAGGTTGAGGAAGACTCCATCCAACAGCAGCACAATGGCGTGGTGGTGCTGGAGGAGCGTGGCAATCCAGCAGGGCTTCGCCAAGCACCATGGGAGAGGAGGAGTAGGGAGAGAGGTAGGGCTGTGCCAGAACTTCGTGTATAGCTCCCATGCGCCTCCCCACTATATATAGGGGTGGAGGGGCTGGTTTCTTGCCCTCCAAGTCCATTGGGGCGTTGGCCAAGGTGGAAGGAAAGAAATCTCATTATTTCCTTCCCCACCGATTGTTATCCCCCCTTTTTAGGGATCTTGATCTTATCCCTTCGGGATATGATCTTATTCCTTCTAAGGGGGGATCTTGGTGCGCCTTGACCAGGGGTGTGGGGCCTTGCCCCCACTACCCACGTCCATGTGGGTCCCCCCATGTAGGTGGGCCCCACTCTGGAACCTTCTAGAACCTTCCCGGTACAATACCGAAAAATCCCAAACATTTTCCGGTGGCCAAAATAGGACTTCCCATATATAAATCTTTACCTCCGGACCATTCCGGAACTCCTCGTGACGTCCGGGATCTCATCCGGGACTCCGAACAACATTCGGTAACCACATACAAACTTCCTTTATAACCCTAGCGTCATCGAACCTTAAGTGTGTAGACCCTACGGGTTCGGGAGACATGTAGACATGACCGAGACGTTCTCCGGTCAATAACCAACAGCGGGATCTGGATACCCATGATGGCTCCCACATGTTCCACGATGATCTCATCGGATGAACCACGATGTCAAGGACTTAATCAATCCCGTATTCAATTCCCTTTGTCTATCAGTATGTTACTTGCCCGAGATTCGATCATCGGTATCCAATACCTTGTTCAATCTCGTTACCGGCAAGTCACTTTACTCGTTCCGTAACACATCATCCCGTGATCAACTCCTTGGTCACATTGCGCATATGATGATGTCCTACCGAGTGGGCCCAGAGATACCTCTCCGTTTACACGGAGTGACAAATCCCAGTCTCGATCCGCATAAAACAATAGATACTTTCGGAGATACCTGTAGTGCACCTTTATAGTCACCCAGTTACGTTGTGACGTTTGATACACCCAAAGCACTCCTACGGTATCCAGGAGTTACACGCTCTCATGGTCGAAGGAAGAGATACTTGACATTGGCAAAGCTCTAGCAAATGAACTACACGATCTTTTGTGCTAGTCTTAGGATTGGGTCTTGTCCATCACATCATTCTCCTAATGATGTGATCCCGTTATCAACGACATCCAATGTCCATAGCCAGGAAACCATGACTATCTATTGATCACAACGAGCTAGTCAACTAGAGGCTCACTAGGGACATATTGTGGTCTATGTATTCACACGTGTATCACGATTTCCAGATAATACAGTTATAGCATGAATAAAAGACAATTATCATGAACAAGGAAATATAATAATAATACTTTTATTATTGCCTCTAGGGCATATTTCCAACAGTCTCCCACTTGCACTAGAGTCAATAATCTAGTTCACATCGCCATGTGATTAACACTCACAGGTCACATCGCCATGTGACTAATACCCAAGAGTTTACTAGAGTCAGTAGTCTAGTTCACATCACTATGTGATTAACACTCAATGAGTTTTATGTTTGATCATGTTGCTTGTGAGAGAGGTTTTAGTCAACGGGTCTGAACCTTTCAGATCCGTGTGTGCTTTACAAATCTCTATGTCATCTCCTAGATGCAGCTACCACGCTCTATTTGGAGCTATTCCAAACAACTGTTCTACTTGGAGCTATTCTAAATTATTGCTCCATTATATGTATCCGGTCTCTCTACTCAGAGCTATCCGGATAGGTGTTAAGCTTGCATCGACATAACTCTTTACGTCGAACTCTTTATCACCTCCATAATCGAGAAAATTCCTTAGTCCACTAGTTACTAAGGATAACTTTGACCGCTGTCCTGTGATCCATTCTTGGATCACTCTTGTACCCCTTGACTGACTCATGGCAAGGCACACTACAGGTGCGGTACACAGCATAGCATACTGTAGAGAGCCTATGATAAAAGCATAGGGGACGACGTTCGTCCTTTCTCTCTATTCTGCCGTGGTCGAGATTTTAAGTCTTAACTTCATACCTTACATCTCAGGCAAGAATTCCTTCTTTGACTGATCCATCTTGAACACCTTCAAGATCATGTCAAGGTACGTGCTCATTTGAAAGTACTATTAAGCATTTTGATCTATCTTATAGATCTTGATGCTTATTGTTCAAGTAGCCTAATCCAGGTTTTCCATTGAAAAACACTTTCAAAATAACCCTATATGCTTTCCAGAAATTCTACGTCATTTCTGATCAACAATATGTCAACAACATATACTCATCAGAAATTCTATAGTGCTCCCACTCACTTCTTTGGAAATACAAGTTTCTCATAAACTTTGTACAAACCCAAAATTTTTTATCATCATCAAAGCATACATTCCAACTCCGAGATGCTCACTCCAGTCCTTAGAAGGATTGCTGGAGCTTTGCATACTTATTAGCATCTTTCGGGATTGACAAAACCTTCCGGTTATATCACATACAACCTTTCCTCATTAAAATCGTCAAGGAAACAATGTTTTGACATCCTATCTGCAAGATTTCATAAATAATGCAGTAATCGCTAATATAATTCCAACAGACTCTTAGCATCGCTACGAGTGAGAAAATCTCATCGTAGTCAACTCCTTGAACTTGTCGGAAAACATCTTAACGACAAGTCGAGCTTTCTTAATGGTGACATTTACCATCATTGTCTGTCTTCCTTTTGAAATCCATCTGTACTCATTAGCCTTACGCCAATCGAGCCGTTCTGCCAAAGTCTACACTTTGTTTTCATACATGGATCCTCTCTCGGATTTTATGGCCTCAAGCCATTTATCGGAATCCAGGCCCACCATCGCTTCTCCATAGCTCGTAGGTTCATTGTTGTCTAGCAACATGACCTTCAAGACAGGATTACGTACCACTCTGAAGTAGTACGCATCCTTGTCATCCTACGAGGTTTGGGAGTGACTTGATCCGAAGTTTCATGATCAATATCATAAGCTTCCACTTCAATTGGTGTAGGTGCCACAGGAACAACTCCCTGTGCCCCGTCACACACTAGTTGAAGAGACGGTTCAATAACCTCATCAAGTCTCCACCATCCTCCCACTCAATTCTTTCGAGAGAAACT